TTTTTTAGTATATTACTTGTGTGGTGTAGAAGAGAATTATTTATGTAGAGATACTGCTTGCAAACCAATGATGGTAAGATGATGTCATGGGGTAGGACTGGATAAGTCTGACTTCTTCCTACTCCATTCAAGCATGTTCTAGGTATAAGCAAATTGATTTTGGATTAGCATTTGTTGGATATGTGTAAAATTATGTGTGTTGACATATTACATGCTTGAAAGAATAAATCAAATCAAATCAATCAAAATCTTACAGAGACAGATGGCATCTTTTCAACATCCTCTTGGATGCATTTCAACTTTTCGATATGGGATTACTATTTGATTTGCCCAAAACAGAGGTCATTTTGTCCCTTTTGTCACATAATTATTTAAAGAATAGGTTCAGGATTTATGAAGTTGGCCTAAATAGTCTTGACATGCTCGTGAGCATAGGTCTTCGTCATTTTAACTTTTTCTACTCCCCACGCTGAACCTGAAGGTTTCCACACTGAATGCGACTTTGATATAAAAAAATTGAGGGCCAACATACACAGCCCTCGTTCTATGTAAAAAAAATCCACTCCAAAGTTTGTCTGAGGCTTAAATGCAGCTTCAGCTGTTACACTTAGCTAAATCTGGCTGCCATTTTAAGACAAATTTTCCTCTTTTATTTCCCAGGAGTGCAGTTCCTTGCTGAGCTGTGGCGGAGGGATACGTTCCAGTAGGAGCATCTAAGTTTGTTGTTATACCGATGTTTACCTCTCAATCTGTGCAGAGTTTACTTGGAAGTGTGTTTGCAGATTTTATGGCTGGTGTATTTTTGCAGTTTATGGTTTTAAGACACCAGTAAAACCTGCTCCTGGGTCTGGATTATATTTGTGTGTGTGTGAGAGTTGTTCCAGCCTAGAACTGGGGCCTATTTCAAGAAGGCGGTTTTGTCAAAACTCAGAGTTTGTTAACCCCGAAATGAGGGAAACTCTGAGTTTTCGGTTTCAGAAACGGAGGTAACTTAAACCCGTGAAAGCGGGGTAAGTTAAACCCGTTTCACAAAGAGAGGTAATCTAAACTCAGAGTCAGTTACTATGGCAACTTACTCTGTGAACCTAACCTGCTTGGGAGCAGGTTTTGTTCGGGAAACTCAGAGTTTCCTCCGGGTCTCCGCCCCTTTTTAAAGTGAAAGGTGTTTAATACCTCATTTAATCTTTCAGTACATTCATAGATTGCACACGTTTCCGTCATGCAGAGACCAAAATGGCGTGTCCATTCATAGAGGATCCTGTAGATGAGGACGCTGTATTAATTCGCAGGGAATTGCATTTACGTCGGGAGAGGATATTGAGGCCACAAGTTGATTTTTTGTCATATCCCCATGTATTTTTATTTGAGCGGTACCGTTTTTCTAGAGAGTCCATAACATATATCAATAATCTTATCCACCCATACATCAGACACATCACCCATCGTGGCCGTGCTCTTACATCCGAGCAGATGCTTTGTGTTGCGTTACGACTTGTTGCAAACAGCAGTTTTCTTTATAACATCGGGGATGCAGAGCAAGTAAGGCCACAGTATGTAGAATAGTTCGGAAAGTGTGCCTCACCCTCAAGCGCTTTCTGTGAATTTTTGTTGTGTTTCCTGGGCACAAACCCCTCAGAGCCATTAAAGAGGAGTTTCACAGGATTGCAGGTTAGTGGTATTGAATTCGTTTCAGCAAGGCTAATCTGACAAATGATGATCAGTTAATAACATCTTGCTGTGACCTCTGGAAATAAACTAATAATTAGAATCCCCTTCAGGATTTCCTAATGCGGTTGGATGCATTGATGGCACACATATTCCCATCAATGCACCTACATGAAAATTAAAATTCAATTCTTATATTATTACATCAGTGTTGGGTAAATCTTAAAAAAGTATTTTGATTAATGTAATAATTACTCTCCATAAAACATACTGGATTATTTATTAATCATTACTTTACAAATCCCATATCAACCACAATAGGAATTTTAAGAAAGGGTAGACATAAAACTGCACTTTTAATTCGTACAAAAATCGGTATTTTATGCAATTACTGAAGTTACTCATTCAATTATTGAAGAATTAAGAACCATTCCTTACTTTACAAGTGACAAATAATAACATTACTAACATTAGTTAGTAATTACTTACACCGAACACTGTATGATTAAAATGTAAACGTACCCATTGACTCGGGCAGCTATTTTCCCCCAAGCTAACTCTTTCTCTTTCTCCGCTGCAGCCGTGTTGTTGTTTTTTTTTTTTTTTAACGAAATATGGGCTCGTAGTCACTATATCCTTGTAGTAGCACATCCATTTCTGTCAGGGAAAAACGCAGACCTATTTTGGCTTGGTCCTGTTGCCATGGTGACTCGTAATTTCTTCACTCCATTGTTCAGGGCTTTTTATAGTCGCGTGGCACGCGCCTAACTCTGAATCAAACAACTCAGAGTTGATTAAACCAACTCTTTTCAGCTGTTCTGAAACCGAAAACTCTGAGTTTTCCAACTCTGGGTAAGTCAACTCAGAGTTCAGGTTTGAGCTCTGAGTTTGTTAAACCGCCTTCTTGAAATAGGCCCCTGGTTCATTCCCGCGTTTATCCATGGCGTTAGAAACCCAGTCCCACAGTAGGAAAGGTGCTGTGACAGAAACTCTGCACGGCTGTGCCATTACCAAAGTAAGAACAGCTGATGAGGGGGTAAGTGCAAATAAACACATCATGTTTGTGATTTATCAGTCAACCAGACTAATTTATGTGTGTTAGACAATGTTTCTATAAAGACCACAGAGATGACAGTCAGCAGTTCACCCACAGTGTGACAGTGTCTCCCACGCAAGCGTTTCAGCAACCGATACGCTCCTGTATTGATCAATCCGGCTGTCGACGCTGCCTGCGTAACACTCGCACTTTGCACATGAAGCATATTTGTACATTTCAGGTCTATTTTTTTTTCAGAGCTACATGCATAAAACACTCCACAGAATCCACCAAAATAACGAAAGCTCAGTAGTTCCAACCAGAACGCCACCAAAATAGATTAATACATTAAAGAAACACAGCTAAAACAAATGATCTATCAACTGTCACATCAATCCTACTGAACATGGCAGCTCTTGGGAGTGTTACACTGTGCATTGTAACCAGTAACTCCCTCATCGTCTACCGTTTGTCATAGTTTTCAGTTTTCAACTGTGTCGGTAGCCTCCTCTATCCGCTTTTTGTACACCAAGCGCTATTTTCACATACAGGTGGGGACATCAAGATCAGCTTGAAAAATCCAGAACCTACCCTTTAATAATATTTCAGTTGAGGCTATTACAAGCACAAAATATCAAAGCTGAAACTGGGTTATTTTCACTTTGTTTTCATACTACCTATTATATGCAATACTTTTGCAAAAGGCACTTGAGCCCATGCAGTGTTAGAGAGGTTTCATTTTGGGTGTGGCTGTTCTCACCTCCTGAGCCAGGGGGCCCAGGGCATAGTCCATTCTCTGACAGAGCTCCCCTAGATTAGACAGACTGCTGACCCGGACGCTGTGGTCAGGGTCCCTGGTTCCTTGCAGAAAGACACCTATCAGAGGACGGCCGAGATGGGGTGCCAGCTCCCCTAGAGGGGGAAGACAAAGAAAGAGGGGAGGGAGTCCATGCAGACAGGTTAGTTGTCAGGTTGTATATCTAAGATGCGCTCAGTAATAAAATGTAGCTGTAATTGTATGGATGCTGAGTCAGCATCCATACAATCATGCCCCATTCAAATGAATGGGGGAAATTCTACTTCAGCATAATTTCAGTTATCAAAATGTTCAGCTCCTCAAGGACATTCATACTTCTATGCTGAATTTTTCTAAACTTCATACTTTTGAAATATTTAGCTTTATTTTGAAAATCTTGCCCCATCCAAATGCATGGGGAAATTCTACTTCAGCTTACTTTCAGGTATCAAAATGTTCAGCTCTTCAAGGACACTGATGCTTCTAAACCTTAGACCTTTTGAAATATTTAGCTTTATTTTGAAAATCTTGCCCCATCCAAATGCATGGGGAAATTCTACTTCAGCTTACTTTCAGGTATCAAAATGTTCAGCTCTTCAAGGACACTGATGCTTCTAAACCTTAGACCTTTTGAAATATTTAGCTTTATTTTGAAAATCTTGCCCCATCCAAATGCATGGGGAAATTCTACTTCAGCTTACTTTCAGGTATCAAAATGTTCAGCTCTTCAAGGACACTGATGCTTCTAAACCTTAGACCTTTTGAAATATTTAGCTTTATTTTGAAAATCTTGCCCCATCCAAATGCATGGGGAAATTCTACTTCAGCTTACTTTCAGGTATCAAAATGTTCAGCTCTTCAAGGACACTGATGCTTCTAAACCTTAGACCTTTTGAAATATTTAGCTTTATTTTGAAAATCTTGCCCCATCCAAATGCATGGGGAAATTCTACTTCAGCTTACTTTCAGGTATCAAAATGTTCAGCTCTTCAAGGACACTGATGCTTCTAAACCTTAGACCTTTTGAAATATTTAGCTTTATTTTGAAAATCTTGCCCCATCCAAATGCATGGGGAAATTCTACTTCAGCTTACTTTCAGGTATCAAAATGTTCAGCTCTTCAAGGACACTGATGCTTCTAAACCTTAGACCTTTTGAAATATTTAGCTTTATTTTGAAAATCTTGCCCCATCCAAATGCATGGGGAAATTCTACTTCAGCTTACTTTCAGGTATCAAAATGTTCAGCTCTTCAAGGACACTGATGCTTCTAAACCTTAGACCTTTTGAAATATTTAGCTTTATTTTGAAAATCTTGCCCCATCCAAATGCATGGGGAAATTCTACTTCAGCTTACTTTCAGGTATCAAAATGTTCAGCTCTTCAAGGACACTGATGCTTCTAAACCTTAGACCTTTTGAAATATTTAGCTTTATTTTGAAAATCTTGCCCCATCCAAATGCATGGGGGCGCAGCACAGGTTAGGTTTCACTCACGCTGGAGCTGTTATATCACGCGTCTCCCATGAACGACAAAGCATGTCAGCGGTGAGAGACTCTTCAGTGCAGCATCTCATGTGCTTAATGAGAAGAGGAACCGTCTCTCCAGCCAAAAAGCGGAGCAACTTTTGTTCCTAAAGAAAAACCTGCCACGTTTGTTGAACTAAACAGCAGTCCAATTTTGCATAGTTGCGTTAAAATTTGTGTAGGACTGCTAGCTACCTAGGCTATGTTGTTTACAGTTTGTTTGGAAGTTGTATTGCTGTTTTTGCACCGTTTTGCATTGTTTTGCACAGCAATTTAAAATGTTTGAGTGTTACATAAAACTTGAATAATATTATTTGGTATTGTTAAAAATATTTTAGATTCTCATTTCAGATTCATCGGCCCAGAATTTTCATTTCGAAGCATCACAATAATAATAATAAAGAACAGGATAACACAGTATGGATGCTGAATCAGCATCCATTCAATAATAATAATAGTAATAAAGACCAGGAAAACAAGGTGTGGATGCTGAGTCAGCGTCCATACAATAATAAATAATTGGATAGCATAGTATGGATGCTTTACAGCATCCAGACAAGAAACAGCAAAGACTTTGATTGTAACAGTTTTCTAGGAGAAGTGTTGAGTTATCTGACAGAAAGGGCCAATATGTTTGGCCATGACTGTATAAACATATGTGTCCAGTGTTGTCCCACATTCACACAAACTGTGAGCTACTGTTATGTAAAATTATTTACCAACTAATCCTCCAGAGTCCAATCACAAAATGAAAATGAAAATAGCCTCAATTCAATAAAATCATACATTGTGTTGCAGCAGCTTTCTAAAATAACAATCAGCCACTGAGAAGCAGAGCAGGGAGGTCTGTCTTAGGCCCGCTGTCCAAACAAACTTGACTCCGTAACTATGTTTGGTCGTTTACTGAAGAAGCAAACCATCAGTCATAATGTGGGACATCGGGCAAACTGGACAAAAACTGGACACATAGCCGAGCTGAAGTTTGATGTTTATAGTTATATTTAATGATTTATCTTTCCTCTGGCTGCGCCTCCCCTGGAATCCTCTGGCGCCACCCAGGGGAGGTGTGCCTCAAACTTTGGAAGCCGCTGTCCTAGACTACTCTTTGATTGCTGAGCACTTCTTCACAAACACAGGATTCAAACCCGCAACAGCCCACAACACACAAAGAGCCATACGGTCAAGATACACACTCCCTTCATTTCCATGCCTCAGTGGACTGCCATGGCTCAGATTGACTGTTAGAGCATCACCAATGGTTCACAACTTTAGACATTAACATGCACATATGTGTACTCATAAAATACACCTGGAAGAACTACTGCAACACTCCCACAGATGATCACATTTTCTAAAGTGCATTTAGTCTAAGCATGCCCTATAAGTAAATGAACTTTTTCTTAAGAACAGCTTCTGGTGCAGAATTCTTCCTGCCTGTCATTCACTGAGGGAGCTCACAGGACTCTGCAAGTGTTTCTCAGCAAGTGCAGAAAGTCAGCAATTGGAAGCAAATCAAAACAGAGCCAAACATTCATTTGTTCAACATTTACTCAACCAGGTGAGAAAATGAAGGACTCTTTTTACAAATGACATTCTGGAAAAAGGCAACTTTTAGCCATGGTGGAGTGCAAGACAAACACAGAAGCGCTTTGGGTGTATGTGTAGCCAACTGAAGTTCTGTCCAATCTCTCAGCAGGGATATCAATTCCTCCATTGTCTCAGGGAAGTGGTATAATGGCAATCTGGGGGAAAAAAACCCCAAAAGGTTTTCTATCAAGGACTGGTTCTGACACACAGGGTCCCTTCTGAACAGAAATGTGCATGAAAACAACCTTACACTGTGCTTTTTGTAGAGCGGTGGTTGCAAGTTGTCCACCACAGTCAAATATATACTGTTGCTTTAGAAAATATTCAGACCGTTTCTCTTCTTGCACACAACACTACTGTGTTGTAGGTTTAGTTTTGCCCATCAATGTACAATAACCTAGGCCACGGTGATAAATTTGTTAAAAATCATAAAAATAAAATCTCTCCAAAAATCTGAGCCTGTGGAGGAAACTGTGGAAACTATATGAAACCAATTATGAGTCATGTATAAATCACATCATGTTAATTGAAAGATGCTTTTTATTTCTGATATTGGTAAAACCTCCTCCAACAGAGAGACAGGTGTAGAGAGGTGAGTTTACATGTCATCTCCAGCAGGCATATGTGAATGAACACATGCACTTAAACACTGGTTCTCCTCAGGGATGTGTCCTTTCCCCCATGCTCTACATTTTGTATTCGGACAGGTCCAGGACTTCTCAGGAGGGCAGCCCTCTTGTCAAGTTACTAATGAATACTGATGTAAGGCAGCATACAAACTTTCCCAAGGCAGGGAAGGGCCTCCTGCCTCACAATCACCAACAGTCTGTGTATTTTTGGTCACTGGCTTGTTGTTGTTGTTGTTGATGCTTGATGATAATGTTGATTTATTTCAAATGGGTCTCTGTGTAAATAAATTGCCCTTGGGGATTAATAAAGTCTTCTGAATTTGAATCATGTTATGGTGACCTCCCATGAGCACTACCACAGTGTCCACAAGCACACAGTGTTCTGTACACAAGGAGGTTATGTCTACATACTTTGATAGCAAGATTATTGTGAGTGCTCATTTTACTTTCCTCTTTGCTGTGGAGACCTTTTACTTTCTGAATGCACTGAGCCCTTTCATGAAAGTTTTATTAAATACCACTAAATACAGATCTTGTTCTTTTGAATTAAAGCTACAGTATATACGTTTTTGTTTTCAAATAACTCTGCTGTAGAAACATACTCCAAGACCTGTCTGAATGTGGAGAGGTGCTGTCGAAGCCTCCTGTGACCCAGACTCATTGAACAACAGTGCAACAATATTAGCTTCTAGAAGGTTCCAATAACAAAAACCTTTTGTCAGTTCATAGTAAGTAATCTGAATGCAACAATTACACTTTATATTAGGCAATACACTCTACACTATAATATCAACTCACCATAATGCAGAGTCAGTGGGAGCCCTGGGCTTGTTTCCTTGCAACTAGAAAAAAATTCCAAGGGCTTGTCTTTTAACACAGGGTATTTTGTCTCAATGTGGTGAAGCATTTTTGAGGGTTTCATGGCTTCATTAGCTAGTCGGTCACCGCAAATTATGCATAGCGGATGTGGAGCTTGTGTATCACCTGTTGCTCTGAACCCGTAACTTAGGTAGGAATCGTGGTATTTTCTTTTAAATGAAGCTTTCATTTTGTTGGCAGTCTGTGACCTTTCTGCTGTCCCGCTGCTCGTTCCTTCCCAAAAAAAGCTTTCCAGTGAATTTTGTTTTTGGCTAATTTTTTTAAAGGGTTAGCTTGTGTTGCTGATGCGTAAAATGGCATGCCAGAGTCAAGTGCATGAGGCAAGGGTGGAAACAGTCGTTTTTCAAACTAAGACTAATGAAAAAAAAAAACTATAATTTTAACCAATTTCTTTGCGGCCCGGTACCAAATGGTCCATGGACTGGTAATGGTGCGGGGACCCCTGCCTTAAGATACATACTTTAGCTTTAATTGTTTAATTATTTCTCTAACATGCCTTAATCTGGTACCACAGTGTGCAGAAGTCCCTTTAGCAGGAGTTAGAGCTCTTTATCCCATTCTTCCTGGCAGATCCTCTCAAGCTCTGTCAGACTGATGGGAAGTGTCTGTGAACTCCATCTTCAGGTCTCTCCACAGATGTTCTCCGGGCTTTGGCTGGGCCACTAAGGGGCAGTTGGAGACTCGTCCTGTGGCTGTATGCTCCAGGTCAGCGTCTGCTGAAAGGTGAACCAGTGCCCCAGTCTCAGGTCGCTGCACTCTGGAGCAGGTTTTCTACAAGGACCTCTGTATTTGGCTTTGTTCATCCTTCCTTCAGTTCTGACCAGTTTCCTTGTCCCTGCTGCTGACAAGTCCCCAATAGCATAAAGCTGTTCTCCAGACACAGTGCTTGAAGTTCTGCGCAAAGAGTTCAATTTTTGTCTCTTCAGAGTTGTCAGACAAGAAAATCTTTTTCCTTGTGTTCTCAAAGTCCTTTAAATGCAGGGCTCCAGACTAACACTTCATACTGGTGCCACTAGTGCCACCATCTGATAGACAGACACTTCTCACAGGCATTTCTCACAAGACCCGGAGCCTCATTCAAACTGTGATGTTTGTCTGACAGTGAGTTTTGGCTTCAGACGAATCACCGCCCGACCTCATACACAGCGTCTTCCAGGTGATTCAAACAGGCGCAAATGTGCCCAGTCTACACAGCTCCACGGACATGGTTAGGGTGTGGTTCAAAACCTTCCAGTCTCTGGGTTTCCAGAACAGTCAGAATGAACTCCAGGACCCACAGTTTTTGTACAAGGGTGTTGAAATAGAAATTAAAATACCATTTAGGGAGAAGATCTGAACAGGTGTGTTTAGACGATTCAGTGTCGGTTGCACACCCTCTGCACAGTGTTTGCATGCGAGTTGTGATCACTAATTTAAGTATCTCTACCAAAGTCATCTTAATAATCTGAAGTACATTGGGTCTCAGAGTCCTCCGCAGCCGGTAATGTGAATGTAGCTTAACGTTCTCTGTATTTTTGTTTAAAAATGGCATTTTCTAGTTAAATGCAACTAGTTTGTCAGTTTGGACTTCCCTAATAGTGATGACATAGATAGAACTTCATAAATCCCACGTACAGATTAAAACCAACAATGGATTTCATGTATTCACAGTAATGTCTGTAAAACCAGAACCTGTTTACTGACAATAGTTTTCATACCATAGGTGTTCCTGAGCCCATGCAGCGATTTCAGTTCAATTCAATTCAAGTTTTATTTGTATAGTGCCAAATCACAACAAAAGTTGTCTCACCTTACTATTATTATTATTATTATTATTATTGTAGAGGAAAAGCCCAACAAATCCCCCTACAGAATCATGTCTGTTTTACTGCAGTGATGTCTGAGGGCCAGAAGAACCATTGCTTACACACATTTCTCCTGATTCTTTGAATCTTTGAATGATATTATGTACCATAGACATTGTTGAACAATTTGCCACACAGAGCGGGGAACCTTACTTCTGAAAGACTCAGCCTCTCTGGGATGCTGTATTTACAGTATACCCAGCCGTGATGCTGACCTGTTGCCAATTAAACAAAATAAAAACAAGTCCAGCCAGTGTCCTCACAACTCTGGTCATACAAGCATGAATCTGAACAAACAGCAGATGATGCTCACCCATCGCCCTGCTTGCCCTCATCAAGACTTCTCCCACTTTGAGGCAGGTTTCCAGGGAGCGCTCCTTGTTGGATGTAGAGAGGGAGGGGTCATGCCGGAAGTTTTGTAGGAGTCTGGCTAGGATCCTCTCAGGGTAGGAATCAGCCAGCACAGCTAGACCTAAAGACAGTTTATACTCAGTCCATCTGCCCTCAGGAGTTATTGGCAACTGTTTCAGCCAGGTAGTTAACATTACAAGGCTGCTTCTGCAGGTTGATACTTAAAAAAAATAAATCAATCTCAGCATCACATTTGGCCAAGCTGTAAGTTTATATTACCTTGAATGGCAGAGAGGTAGACGAATGAGTCTTCATGCTCCAGGTTTTCTAAGAAGAGCTGAAGACACCATCAACATGATTAATCACCAAACAGACTGATGTATAATTCCATGTCTCTATTTCACCTTACTGCCAATATTCTTTAATTTCTTTGTGAATAACATCACCAGTATGAATCTCTCCAACAGAGAGATAACCTTGGAGAGCTCAACCTAACCACAACACAAAGGGGACAAAAATCAATATGGAGTTTTCTGGTTGTAACAGCAGGGGGGCAGAAGGTTATCAGTGGGGGTTGCTCATTACACAGAATACTAAATGAGCTGTTATTTTCTCTTGCCCACTCCACCTTAACAAGTCCCTAGAGCACACTATAGGGGTTTTTCCATTACAGGAAAACACCAAAACATGTTGAGCCGAGAAACACTCATCACGGGTTCTGCGTTTGCTTTCCACTGCTGTGCGCCCACTTTGGACGTGCGTGCGTTTCAGGAGCTAAATTCTGGCACTCCTCAGGAGGTAGTACTAAAACCAAGTTCCAGGGACCTGAGCTGTGGCCTGAGATTGTTTAAATGTCTGCTCTTCACAACTCAATCATTAGCATTACAGTGTGTAAAGAGGCACTTATACTGGTTTAGAGACAAATCAGGGACTTCAGTGAATGGACACTGGGCAAAGTGGTGAAGACGTCACATTTCTGCAAGTCTGTGTTCTGCTTGTTCAACAGCTCTTTGAAAAACTGCTCATACAGTCTCAGTTACTGGCTGATTGTTGCACTATGGAGTGATCCATCACGCTGTCTCTTCTCCCGTTGCTCAGCTGACTGTTTCCTCTAAACAGGGACCAACACAGAGAAAATACAGGATGGTCCACATCAACCTGTGAGGTTATGTGGGGAAAAGTACAGAGTGTAGCGCTCGTAAGGTTCCAATAGTGGAAATGCAGCATTTTAATCCCTCTGGCTCCCCTGGGGAGGAGGATGAACCACTTAACTTATGGTATATGTTGACAGGTAACACCACTACCTACACTTTCCTCATTTGTATACAATGCATGCAACAATAGCACAATTAGATCAATAGGTGGCTAAGACAAATGTGTAGTTTCCTTGCCTTTTTCTTGTATGTCATCTGTGTTATTGTGCTGTTTTATTCTTCCACTGATATTATTTATTTAATTTTAGTTATTTATTGTGATTTTATTCTGTCCATGTAAAGTACTTTGGTCAACTGGATGTTGTTTTTAAAGTGCTATATAAATAAATTTGATTCTATTTATGTACATGCACGGAAAGAACATTAAAATGTGCATGATTAAAGCGTACACAGACTGAAGTCAGGCCCTCTTTTGGAAGTATGAATTGAGGCATGAGCCCCTCGTCCGTGTCAGCATATGCATGGGGGTATGCGGAAACCATGAATTCCCCTTAAAGGCAGGGTTGGCAATCCTGGAAAAACCAGGAAGACAAAGCTTGATTTTAAAAGTAGCCGCCCAAAGAAATCTCACCCTTTCATTGTGACCTCTCTCCAAAGCCACTCCTCCATAACACAATGTGCACTGTCTGACTACTTACAGATTTCAGTAAAATAACAAATGCCCCTCAAACAAAACTAAACCTTCTATTCTTCTGCTCTATTCTATACACACAGCATCTATTTCCTGTCTCTGGAAGAGGAATCCCTGCTCTGCTGTTTATCCTGATTTTAGTTCCATTTTCTTTTTCCTGTTAAAGGATTGTTTTGGGTTTGGGTCTGAGTTTTTCCTAATCTGATTGAGTCTAAGGACAGGGGTTATATTGGGTTATAAAAATAAAATGTGAACATCTGACATCATGACAGACTGAATGTTAAAACAGAAACAAAAACATTGAGTAACCAAACAACCCACCATAAGGACTTTCTCCTGGGCCTGGAAAGCTTCTGGGGTTCTAGTTTGCACCATCTGGGTCAGGACCCTCAGGGCAAAGGCTCTGGTTGGTATGTCTGGGTCGCACGCCTCTAGCAGCCAACCAGAAAAGGGCTTGGCAGGGGTGCAAGGGACACCAGTGCCAGAGGTCTTCCCTCCTTCTTGCAGAGTTCCTCCTGCTGCAGACCCTCCAGAGGATGCTGGTTGTCTGATATGGGTGTTGCTAAGGGAACAACTGCCAGGGGGAGATGAAGTACTAGTCTGTAAGTCGTTTGCTTCAGTTTGCATTGATGTTTCAGGATTTCTGGAGGTCTGAGCAGCAGCAGTGAGGTTTTCAGGCCAGTAGGCACCATGTGTGAGAATGACAGTTCTGAGGTTGGATGCCAGCTCCTTGACGACCACCTCAGAATGCTTCTGAGACAGCGTCTCCAGTGGCGGGAGCAGCCTTGACATAGAAGAGTAGTCCTCTGCACTATGCTGTAATATTAAAAGGGATGGGACAGTTGTTTTACACTGAAGATGCTTTCAGACAGCCAGTAGTTACTGCGCCTACTAACAGGAACACTACTTTTGTCCGATTACACTGAATGTAAATTTAACCTGGTCTGCATTACAGGGCTGGAAATCTTGTTCTGACATTTAGTGGTGCAGGTCTATAAAATCTGATCCAACAGTCTCACATTACACAGAAAATACAGCAGATGCAACGTAAAAGATGTTTGGTGTTTTTCAGCCGTGACTACCTGAGGTCCAGACAGCAGAGTGGCCACCAAACCCATCCCCATGCTTAGCGTCTGGCTCTCTATTGGGTTCCCAAAACTTGGCTCAGTGGCCTGATCCAGACCCACACAGGCCCTCTGAAGTAGGCACACCATGAAGTCTACCACCTGTAAAAAGGAAAAACAGAACCCTAGGCACACAAATAATATTTAAAGAGTGATGCAGGAGCCCAAATATGTTCAATATAAAATTAAACCTTACAATGGAGACTGTCCATGTCAGAAACATTCAGACCTTATAAAAACATTCAAAGCATCCAATGAAGTGAGGCCTGTTTATGAGACCTTCCTCAATCTGTGAGGGAATATTTGTTGGCCCTACAGTATCAGCAGTTAGCCACCCTTATCTGAAACTCTTAACATGCTCCAGCCCCTGCTTCTCCTCATCAACCCTGCCAGACATGAAACAAATGAGTTATTTTTAGTATTCAGCATGACTCAATGTGGCCTGTTTGCATTACAAAAACTCTCACAAGCACAGCCTGCAGAATGGCAGGAGGATGAGTGAACACCTAACAGAGGGTGGACAAGATATTCTAGGGAAGTCACAGTTCCTCTAAAAACTGTTTCAAGTCAAAACTGGTGAAGTCTTAACATCCACCAGAGCCCTGAGCTGCTCAGACACCGCAATCTGAACGGAGAGCAGCTGCAGACATTTCAGAGTTGCTAAAGCCAAAAAACAGCAGACATTCAGGCAGCGTGGCTAAAGAGGCCTAAGTTGTGTGGGGTGCGCATCTTGCCACTCACCTGTGTGGTTTTTCCCAGCAGCACAGTATGCTGCAGAGACTCCAGCATCACAGCCAGCACCTGAAGCAAAACCAGTCTCTGGCCTTGCCTCACAGCTCGACCCAGCAGCTGCTGCTCCACCTCCAGCAGTGTCATGGCTGACACATTCAGCTCCTGTTCAGCTTTCTCCTCTTCACCTGCTGTAGCTGTCCAGCTGGTCAGCTCCTGTGGGAGAAGCAGGGAAATGATGAACTGTCAGCCAGAATGACCTTCTCTACCAGGTGGTCTCCACAGACTACAACCTCAAAGTTATCACAGAGTTACACACATGTCTCTGCCGGAGTCTCCAGCAAAACTAAACACGGCAGGAATACTTATTGCACTAGACTGAATTAGTTTACAGGTGTTTGTCTGTGTGTTCCTTACCTGCAGCAGGGACAGGAAGAAGTCTCCAGGTAGGATGCTGTCTTTGAGTTGAGCCAGCAGCTGCACCAGACACTCCAGCCTCCACTGGTCCCCCCACAGCTCTATGAAACAAGAACAGAGTAGTGAGGGAGACACTGAACTGAAGAAATCAAAATCAAACAATATACACAGATAATAAACAAAACAGAATGAAGGTGGAATGAGATGTTGACTCTTTTACTGCTGCCAATTGGTCCCAGACATCACAAAGGAACTGTCCTGCACTGCACTACTCATCATGTTCTGTTGTGAGCATCCTTTCTTAACACAATGTATGAAGTCACTCCTGAAAGTCACTTGTTCCACACTTTGTTGTACATTTCCTTTTAAATGGATATAGCTAACACCAGATCAATAAAAAAAAAACCTTCTACATTCTACTTTTATAGTCAGTTTGGCCTCTTTTGTACTCCACCAGAATTATTTCTTTATTAACGATATACCATACCCCCAAATCTCTGGAAATGCAATGGAAACTAAAATGACTCCCAGTTTTGCTCATCTCTTTGTTGGTCATTTGGAAGATCTAATACTGTATGAACCACAAAAAATCTTATTCTTCCTTTTGTTGTCGTGGAAATGATCGACTGATCATGTGTTTCTGCTTTGGAAAGGTACGACTTCCATTTTACTAAAGCTTTTAAATAGCAGCTCTGCAGGCTTGAGATTCACACTTAATTATAGTCTTAAAGAAACAGACTTTCTTGATAAGAAGATGGTCTCTCTTCAGCCCTTTAAATAAAACTCACAGACCACAATACACTTCTTCATGCTCAAAGCTTTTCATCCCTCTTCCCTTGTCTGAATGGATTAAATGTCACAACTCTTTGGGGCATTTTCAATTGCAGAGCCTGCAAAACCTGCCAATATACCAAAAGGTCTTTTAACCAAACAGTCAATAGGAAGTTAATTAACATCAAGGATTTTATCACCTGTGAAACAAAAAAAAAGTTATTTACATGATACAATGCCTATGTGTAAAAGTATATATAGGGGTGACATCTCGCTCACTTTTATTACGGTACACAGGAGCGCTATCAAGAGAAATGATGTTACTAACCCGGTTGTGAGACACTTCAATGGGTTAAAACACCATGTCTTCATTATTTTTCACAGGCGTAGAGGTAATCATGCCCAGAGCAAAAAACGAGAGGTGTGGTTCACATTCTGCCCAGCAGTTTTTTTCCTATTCATAGGGCCTTTTGTTCTTTTAACAGACTCTAACGAAGGCCCTTTGCCAAAACACACCGGTCTTTACTATAAAGTTGTTTCAAACACTGCAAGTGTTGCTGGGCTTTCTGATTTCCAGTTTGTTTTTCCCTTGTTTGTGCACTTTGACAGCATGTGAAGTTGTGCCAGAAGTTTGTGCTGTAAATGGATATAGTTGCCATCAACTCAATAACCCATAATGACGAAAGATTTAGAAACATTTGCAAATTTCTAAAAGCTGCCAAAACTAGAGCTGTCAAAGTTAACATAATGATGAGTTAATGCAAATTCCTTTCAATGCCAGCACTTTTTGTGACATGAGATTAACACATGCACATTCTGTGATGATGACCCTCGGCCCGCCCATAGTTTGGGATTTCAGGAAGTGATGCAGCAGCAGAAATGGACAAAGAAAAGGGTCTCTTCAATGGCAAGTTGTGCTTCAAAGCCCTGGTAAATGGTTCTCTCTCTGCCCCTTTGGCAGCAGTTACTGTATGCTTTGGTTTTTGTTCTGACATGCAGTGTGAACTGTTGGACCTTTACATATACAAGTGAGTGCTTTTCTGAACTATGTCTAGTCAATTTAGGTTGGACCCGCACCAAGGAAAAAAAGAAAGTGAACGGGATGCACTTGATCGCAGTCTGTAGAGCCTCAGCAAAGAGCCTGAATTGTTTTGTAAAATTAAATCTGTAACAATAAAAGTGTACAAAACATTAAGGGGTTTGAATACTTGGAGTGGAGTCGCTGTAGCAAAGACACTGCCCTTTCACAAAAACAAAGTGGGTATCCATCCTGTATCGGTCACCTGCAGCTCTCTCTGAAGCTGCACTTGGCTCCTCCATCACTGCCAGGGGTGAAGTGGAAGCCTGCTGCCATGTCGTTCTTCTGTCCCTGCAGACCACAGAGCTGCCTCAGTGTTGACAGGGCTGCGGACGTCTCAGCATGGCTCAGGTACCACAGCAAAATCTCTTGGCACGGGGCGCTGTACGGCACAGAGCACACACCCATACAACTGAGTGTCAGTGTCCCATCTTAGTTTTATTAACTGATAATCATGTATACTTTACATTTATGCTGACTATTTTCCAAAGGACACATTTTTAAATGATTTCCGTTTTGACTAAACAGTAAAAATCAACAGATAAAGACTAGAAACTTGCACAATATAGATAATCATTTATGGTAAAACCCATTTCCAGTCTCTTATTTATTCATTTATATATTTTCATTCAGTTTTGAATTATCATCATGATGTGGTAATGAAGCTTCAATGTTAAACTGTTTTGAAATTCCTCCAACATGTAGAGAGAACTTAGACAATAAGGTTGGCCATCATTCTCTAATTACTGGATTAACAATGTGTTGGTCTGTCTCTCAGTATTCTCTGATTCTTCACCCAGTCTGTGGCACTCAGCCCCAAGCTATCCTTGTTCACAGGATCACTTGATAGTTTTGTTCTTTTCTTGACATTTTGTTGACAAGAAAATGTAGAACATCAACAGACTCACTGTTAAAATGTAAGAAATGTAACTTAATCATTAGATGAGTTTAGAATGTCAATGTTTGCTCATTCTTTGTCCTCTGGGTGGTTGGGAAAATAATTGTTTTGTTTTTAGCAATATTGCCTGTGGGGATGTTACTCAGATTGTTTAGAAGCTGTAGTGAACTTGAAAATGTAAACTCTATGATCCAGTGTGTAAACTGTTCAACAAGGTTACTGGGATGTTCTTCTTACATTGGTATCAGTTTGACTACTGTTTAAAATATTTAAGCTTAGTTAAGACTCAGGAGAAATGCCCCATTCCTTAACTAATCTTAAATGGACTACAAGCGACACCCGGTAAGTGAAGGTGGATACATCTGACCCTAAACCTACATCTCTGGTGAAGCAGCCTTTACAAACAACAGTTATTTTAGTCACTGTGACAAATGACTTCTGCAAAGTAGTGACAAACATCACCGTTTAGAAAGTTAAGTGTATTTTCACTTGTCTGTGCTATTAACCAAGTGTTTATATGTGTTAAACCAGTTAAACGTTCTTTGTTCCACATAATATGCTATTTCATTTACTGAGGTTAAATGTTTAAACAAATGTGTTGCTTAATTGTGATGTTCATACATTTCGATTATGTGTATTTCATATGTCAGCAGTTGTGGAAAAGGAAGTTATAACCTGTATAAAATGAACTTAAGACAAAATTACTTGAATTTTCTCATGAAAAAGCTGGGTATCGGATACAAGAAGTGTAATGATCTTATCAAGTTATTATTGGTGTATTTATGGGTGGGATATGAATAATTTATTGTTTATCATTTGTTTTCTAATTATGTAAATGTGATTTGTGGTTAGAAGGAATGTAGTAATTTGGTGGTTGCGGGAATTTAACCAGTGTAGTTGTTTAGTTAAATACTTGGGTTGTGTCAACTATAGTTTGGATTACCAGGGGTAGAACTACATAAGTATTACTTCTTTCTACTCCCTTGCAAGCATGTAATGACTAAGCAT